TGTTGGTCTTATTATCAATTGGTTGTTTCAATCAACTAATTAATTATTACGAATTGACCTCTATCATTATTTCATCAAAGGCGCTACTCTCAATTGCACTTTATCTTTGATTGCCATATATTAAGATTCGAGCTTTCCTCAAGTCACGTTGTTAAATTACACTAAGAGAAAAAGGATAAAGCATGCGGTATTCAAAAGTTCATTACTAAGTACTTAAGTGCACTTGAGATATTTGGTTAACCGGTTGTAAATGAACTATTTGAAAGATTTTTGTATATGTATATCTGTTGACTAAAAACTTATTCTAATAAAATTATGAAAGTAAACTAAAAAGTTCATTTTCTCCTATGAACAATCAAAATCTTTCTTATTTATTATTATTTGTAAAAATATTACTTATTTTTTTGATTATTCTAACGTAAACGATTATTAATGACACTTTCTATGTGGATCATTTAGTAACTTTCTAAACGATATCGTTGGTTAAAGTTAGAAGCAAGTTGAATGATTGGAACATATTTTTACCTAACAAGGGAAGATCTCCAACTGATAAATCGCTTTTGAGTCAAGGCTATGAGTATTATGTAGATCCAAATGAACTATGGACAACTTGAAAATAGTTCGTGCTCTTAGCTTATTGCTGCATAGACACTACACTTTTACGGTACTTTATAAATGAATGCCCTGGTTTCTCTCAAGAACAACAGAAAAATTGGATTTCGAATTTTGACTTGTAACTTAACGTAAATACAGAACTTAACAAGAATAATTATCTGTGAATATTTCAGATTTTGTCACCTTTCCTATCCTAAGATACAACTATGGTAATAGCTTGCTCTTCAGAGTTGTAACCATTCCGAATCGATTGCAATGGTTCGATTAGTCGATTCTCACTGATTTTTACCGGCTGAAAAATATTTTATTGATACGACGTTTTTTCTGATAAAACTCCTTGAGAGCAAATTTACGTACTCTTATCATTATAATCAATGTGTTGTTTCAGAGACTAAGAGCTTTATTTTATTCTGTTCGTCAGCAATGTTTTACTCCTTTAATAAAAATCTAGTTCACGTTATAAAAACGGATTTTAGTGTGCTAACGGAGCATAATACGATTATTCGCATTTATTTACGTTGGACAACACTTCTTATTGTATTAGTGTCTTATCCAAAAATCATGATCATATGCAAAAATCGTTCTTGTTTCTATCACTCAGATTGTTGGTGAAGGTATTCATATATGGTTCGATTACATGGCGCATTTTGTCGTGCATCCAAACCATGATTTAGCATCTTATTTACACCGTATCATATACGGCACAAACACGACCAAGATCAAATGATAGTATATAGTAGCATTTTCGTCATATATACACCATATTCTCGTTGCATACGGTCACAATGTAAACATCTGCAAAAATAGCCAAGCTTATGGAAAACATCTCTTTACATCATGAGAAATTTCATAAAGTTTTTTTTACACAAACAACATTAGATACTTGTGAATCAGTGACCATAGAGAGAACCGAAATGAATGTGTAATGTAATGAACAGTATTGAATTGATTTTCAATGCATTTTGATTGATTCGAACTTGTCAACGCGTTTTAAGAACATAGACAGATAGTGACAAAGAATTATTCGTGAAATGCAATGACATTGAGAGAAAGCAAATAAAAAGAAGAATGCAATATTACGTTTTTTCAGTAGTCGTTTATTTACACGAACGGAAGAAAAAAAGAATGCCAACAATAATACAAATTGCTTTGTGTTTGTTTTTGTTTCGTTAACTCCTTCGTTATTAATGAACTTTTTTTGTTGATCTTTCTTGTCTGTCATCGTTGCATTTTCCGAAGAAACTCAAAAGAATCATGTAATCAACGTTACGATGAATGTTTGTTATTCACGGAACAAACGTATGTGTTTGAACAAAGACATCAAACATGCAATACAATGATGGTGTTTTATTTTTGTTTATTTTGAATTAATAGAGAAAGATTTGTGTCTTCATTCAATATCTCCACCGATTTTAGCTAAACAAATATGAACGGTTCTTTTCATTATTTGCCAATTATATGCAAACACATATGATTCTCTTTCGCATAGATACAAGCAAAAAATAGTTATCAATTGACGCATTTATCCTCATGTTTCTATTGATATACATTTATAACAAACAAAGTTCTAGTGATATATATGCTTGCATAGGGTAGGAGTTGTTCTGGTTATTATTTTGAGGATGTGGGTGTGGATGTTCCATTATCTGCACACACCCATACACATCCACATCAACACTGATATACCGGATCCGAAAGATAAGACAAAGAGGAAGGTCAGCAAAGGCTAAACTTGCTTTACTAGTACAATAGTTGAATTTTCAATTTCTTTTTTATTTTTCATTGATTCTTTAAATTTCTATATCAATTTCATGTTTTCCTTTGATATTTCTTCTGCTGATAAAATATTCATTTTTACGGATCAAATTTGAATTTTTACTGACAATTGTATATAAAAAACTGATCATTTTAGTACTAACTGTTTCAATATTTTCACTGACCAATTGTATATTTCTTTACTGACCAAAAATTATGTTCCCAAAAAGTAGCATGTCTTGATTGATTCGATTCACACTATTTTACACTTGATTGAGAATATTTTTACATATGCATAATCCTAAAAGTGTTCTCTATCAAATAGTGTAACAACCACCTTTCGCTGAAATATAGTGGTAGAGAAATTAGCCATTTACAATAGTGATCTGCTTCAGTTATTATTAGGGTCCATTTTCCTAATAACAACACTATAACAAGATTCAAGCAAATAGGTACTGTTTGAGAAAAAAGAAGATTTTTTACGGATTTTCATTCGGAAGACAACCAATGATCTCACTGGCATTTTTGTAGAGCGTATCGGATTTCATTTAAATCCAAAAATTCATGAGAAAAAAATTTTGATTTAATTATATACAAAGCTTGAAGAAAAGACATCCAACATTGATGAATCAAAAAATTATCCTAATAACAACACTCAGCTATCTTTTGATTCTAATAACAGCATAGCTAGTCTTGGTCTTAATCATAACAGAGAACGTCACAGGACGACCTATTTTCGTCCTGTCCTGTCTGATACAAGAAGATCTTTGTATTATATTTTTGGAAAGGATAAAAGCTTTTATAAACAAGAAGTATGATGTCAAATGTTATAAAAGCACTAATTATGTTAAAATCATTTATAATAATCTTGTTAATAAACTTTATCACCGATGTTACACAAGAAAAAAAGTGAACAGGAAAAGTTGACATCGCTAAGATGATTGAAAGAATAACACAAAAAAGACAATGATACAAGATTGACGATACAATCAATAGATTGAATACAAGAAGCTTACCTGGCAAGATAAATCTTGCCTGATTAGGCAAAATTTGATTTACAAGATTCTTGTCAAAAAGTTAACACAAGTCGATAGCACACTTTGAGAGACGAAATCGATGTGACATTAAAATGGTATTACTCAACGGTTATTAATTCTTACGAAAATAATATTTTGAAATATGTGAACTTTTATGAAGAAAATTGAATTAACTGAAATTTACGATAACATTATATTACTAAGTTCCACATATATGACAAAAAAAAACAGATGACGATGGGCAATAGTAAAATGAAGAGTAGATAATAATGACCGATCGTAGATGATAGTAAATGGCTACACAGAATCATATATCTGTTTTCTCACAGAACTATAGAATATTGAATAGTAATGGATGCCAACAGATGTGACTTTCACATATGTATCAGAAGGGATAGATCGTGGGTAAAGCTGCATTAAAAGTTGGTGGCTGTGGATAATAGTTGATTTTGTTGTATGAGTCGAAAAATAATAGTCTTTTAGTCACTCGTGAGTGTATTTATTGTCTCGTAGTGGATTTCTTCAAAACCAGTATGTCGCTTACTGCGAAGTACTCAAGTTACTTGATTAATTAAAAGCATAGTAGCATAGATAGGTTGTAGTACTTTTCACTTACAATTATGCCTATATTCACTTAAAAAGGTTCACTTGTAAGTACTATTTTCATTTTATGAAAAAATAATGAAAGTACTTAATAGTGACTTTTTAGATCAAAACTATTACATCGGTATGCTGATATCATCAGTGAAAAGCATTTACTGTAATATACAGCCTAAAATAAATATTTAGTGAATATAGAACGAGCAAATAAGAATAAAACAAAATTTTAAATTCAATTAAAACATATGTTGAATTATATTAAATTTTATTTCATTTTTATATTCTCCTTCTATTTTTACAAAACATTTATCTGAGTCTGTATATTATAGTAAATTCTATTGACTGATCCTGTCTGTTTCTCTATTAAATAAAAAAAATTAATCGTTGGTTTTTTTCTACCATGTTCTCATATGTTATAAACGAATTATTTCTTTTCGTTCTTTGGCATATTTTCGTATTGCGGTATACTTCTTTATGTCATTACAGATATTCTCTTGTTATTCTTACGCTTTTATTCTGCTATCTTCGCTGGTTATTGTCATTGAATAAATAGGATTCACACTGACAAAAAACCACAAAAATTTACGACATCAGTCCGGTTGATGTGGAACGATTCTTTTATTCTTCTTCAAAACAGTAAAAACGACTCAATTACAGATACGAGTCGTATTCATTAAATGAGTAAAGGAATTTTTAAATGAGCAAAATGAATTAGTTGCTGTATACTTTAAGTTCAATATTAAACAAATTATTGATTTACTAAGCGAACAATTATTTAACGAAGCTATTTGTATATAATAAATTATGCTGAGCGTTTACAAGAAAACATTAGGCATTTAATTTATTTCTATAATAAAATATTAAACTAGAGTACATATAATTATTTTCGACTAAAGTATTTTATTCATTTAAAAAAAAATATTTCGAAAAAAACTAAAGATAAATGATTTTCTTTCTTTTTTATAGTAAATTCATTCATTCAATATTTTACACATGGATTTTATGGGTTCAACAGCAACAGCTCAATACACATTTATGGGTCATCAACCACAGCAGGGTAGCTTTCTACCATCTACTAGCATATCTAATAATCGAGCATCATCTGATCCGTCATGTTCCGGTGTACCTACTCGATCACCTTCTGTTTCATGGTGTCCAGCAGTATATTATCGAACAGCACATACTGAGCCAATACAATCATTAAATATATCAACAGTACAACCATTTAGTTCAACAAATTATTTTAATAATATTGATAGTTCTAAAGTACCACCAATATTTCTATCAGCTCGTCAAGCACTTTATACACGTTATGCACCAAAAGATTGGCATAATGCTCAACTGACAAATTATTTAGCATCGGATAAAATTTGTGCTGCATCTGCACGTTTACGTTCAGATGCAATAGGTTTAGCACATGAAAAAGATGAACAAGCATTCAAAAATAATTTTGAATCATCAAGACACATAGCTGAAATTATCAATGATATTGAATATTGGGAAAGTGAATTAGAAAAAACAAAAGATAACATGAAACGTAAAATAGATGATGTTGAATTTATACAGCGCGAAGTTAAACGATTATTATCCGAAACAGAAAAACCATTACGTATAGTACAAGAAAATTTATATGAACGTGAAAAACGTCAAGGTTTTATAATCTAATCTGTTAAAATAAAAGAAAATAAGAAATTATTTTTATTTAGGTATTGATCTTGTTCGTGATAATGTTGAACGAGAACTTATTCGAGTAAGTTTTCATAATTACAAAAAAAAGCAAAACATACAAAGAAAAGTTTATATAGGAGGTTGATACAATTGAATTATCTCAACAAAAACTTCGACAAATGCTCGAACGTCTTGGTTTTCAAAATGCGTAAGTATCTTTTGCTATAATGGACTAAATATTTACGATTCTATATTTTTAAGTCTTAATTTTGCTGGATTACACGAATTAGAACGTGATGTACAAGATAAATCTCGTGCTCGTGTACTTGATTCAGCTGCTCATAATATTCAAACAACATCAAGTGGTATTAAGTTTTATGAGGGTATTGAATATGTTGACAACACGTAAGTTTGAATTCGTTAAGTTATCGATCGTACGTATGCTAATATTCAAAGGTAGAAAAACACAAGGAATAATACAATTATTATTGAAATATACTGTTTCTTTCATGGTTCGATTTCATCTTTGTTTCAGTGAAAGTTTTGCATGATTATTGCTTTTGATGTCCTCAAACGATCAGTCATGTCCAAATCTTAGGTAGAGGTATAGAAAGGTCGAGGAAATTTGTTTAAATCATATAACCAATGAAGTAGGTGTACACTAAATCGAAACTCTAATTTGACTTTGGGAAACTATCCAACAAATTTTGACAGTGCCGAGTATTTAGATGGTAAGCCAAGTAATTCTTGAACAATCATGAAAGCATCCTAAGTTTCCATCTAGATCGAGTATTGTTGAAAATCGTTGATTTTCTTATCGGATGTCTCTAGCTTTTCCGTCTTTTGATCATTTATATCACTATGTAAATTTACTATAAACAATCGGTCGGCTTACTTTTATATTCTTTTACAAATTAACTGAAAATAACTGTAGCCTAGATCGAACTCGAAGGTTCTTATTTGATATATAGGAGGTCTAGATTCCAACTTTTTAAAAAGCGATTGTATGAACTCATTGAGAATAAATTGTACACTTAAAAGGTTTTTGCGCCTAGTAATCAAGTCAAAAACAATAATCTCACATATCTTCCATTAAAATTAGATCTCATTATATCGAAGTACCGTAGCTGGGAAATATTAATTAATATGAAGCGAATCAATACGAGCAAGCGAATGGATTGTAAAAATTGACCGAATATATAGAGTTGTTTTTTTTTTACTCGAATAGTTTGTTTTATAGTATATCAGTACCTGAATCATGGACGCGATATACGCAAGAAAATATTCGTCGAGCTGTTGCTGGAATTTCTCAATCGGATGAATTACTTAGTGCTACTAACCAACTTATGGCAACAATTTACGATGATATCTGGTCACAATGGAACCATGTTAATACTTCACTTGAAAATCGTCTACAGGAAGAAAAAGTAGCGAAAAATAAAATTCAATCTCATCTTGAAAAGGTTTCTTTCATCATTACTTTCAAAAAAATTAATATATATATATATATATATACATTAAAACTCTGTTTTAGATTCGTCACGAAATTGTTGATGTTGAACAAACTATTGAATTTTTGAAAAAAACCATCGCTGATCAAGAAGCATTTTTACAAGTTGCTCAAACACGCCTAGAAACACGTAATAGACGTCCAAATGTTGAAGCATGTCGAGATTCTGCTATGCTTAGGTTGATAGAAAAGTTAGGAACGCAACGGTGACGGTATATCAATAATTTACTGTCGCCATTGCATTCCAATATAGAATAAAAGAAACAAATTTCAATATCTTTTCTTTTCTTTTATTTAATATATAGATTAATTCAAGAAGTTCATGATTTACATGCAGCTATTGCTGATCTTTATGGTAAATTACGTCAAGAAGAAAATGCTTTACAACTTTTATTACGCACTCAATCAACCTTAGAACAAGATTTAGAAATAAAAAATAATTCGTTGTCTATTGATTCCGAGAAGGTTATGAGTATTCGACGTACATTCATAATGGGTGCACCAGAAAAAAGTCTCGTTACTTCAGTATCATTTTCTCAACCCCATGATCTTATTACTGTCTGAAGAAATGGTAAGATTTGTTATTGATCAAAATCATAATAGTAAAAAACAACTGTTGAAATCGATTTTTGTTTTATTTTCAAAGTTTCAGTGAACTGTCTATGATTATCTTTCAAATGAAGAAACTAATCAGTGATACCATTCGTTTTCTTCTTCATAGAATATAAAAATAAACAAGAAACATATTATTTTTTGCGTCTTTATTTTTTTTTAAAACTAAACATGCGCTCTTTTTTTCTTAAATACATAGCGATGCAACAAATCTGAGGCCTTTGAATTTGGAACACAAAGTTTGGGTTGAATTTGAATTGGATCTTAAATGACCCAAATCTGAGAGGTTTCTGTATGATAAAATACTATAAGGGAACAACGAATCCGAGGCCTTGTAAATTGATATGAAATAAGATGGATTTGATATAGATTTGAGTTTGGCTTGAGTCTAAAGTGACTCGAATCCCAAGAAATCTCGTACGTTCAAGTACCACCAACGATAGATTCTTCGTAGTATCTCAAGTTCTCTATCATTTTTTTCTCATTGAATATTAGAAAAAGCTGTACGCTTGAGTAAGCTTTAAGAAAAATGATATAGTGCGATTTTGGTTCCGGTTATTCTTTCATACATTTCATTAAGTATAAATACTTCGTATTTATTGAACGACTGTAATCAAAACTTTAATCAAAAAGATATTATATCTATTTTTCTTCAAAGTTCTTAAAGTATCTAAGGCATTATCTTGCTGTGTTCTTGTACATACAAGTGGTCTATCAAAATTGTACAATATAAAATATTAAATCTATAAATTAATACAATTTGTATACGACTATTGTCTTTATATCAATAAAAAACTACTTTTTCATTTCTTGTAGAAAATTATTTTATTGATATCTCAGAGAAAACTTGCTCAAATAAAATTAATATATGTAAGCCATTATGCTGCTTTGATGGCATGCTGTCTTTGATGTTTAAAATAAATTTCTTCAAAATGCAGAAGAATACAACAAAATAAAAAAAGTTATAAAAACAAGATGAAAAAAGAAGATGAAACGTTGAATATCATAAAAAAATGTCACAGATGACGAATAAATTTTTGTGCCATGTTGATTTTGTTGAATTCATATTGGCTATTGTCGTTTTTTTTTGAAATTCTAGCTACCATCTTTTAAATTACTTTCGATCGTTAATAATTATCGATGTCGAGCTTTTGCCATGAAAGAGAGCAATTTTGAAGACATCTTTCTGTATAACATTCATTAAGTTGACAGAAATTTCTACAACTTTTCGTAGCAACCTAGGCTCAAAATTACACCAAAATGTAGTTCGAAGAGTGTTCTAGTCCATGTATAACTGTTTGACTTTTTCACCTTCACCATGGATTCATGCTTCAAGATAAGTGTTCTGAAATCTGGAGATTTTATAGGTAATACAGCTATCTTTAAGCCGTATTTTGGTATAATTTGAGTCTGGGTTGTCATGAAAGGTTGTAGAGAGTGACAACGAAAAAAATGTTTACTTGCAAATATTCCTATAAAATTTCTTCGAACTTAATGAATGTTATAAAGGGTGTGGGTGTCTTCAACATTGCTCTATCTAATGGCACAAAATCGACGTCGATATCTATCAACGATGAAATGTAATTAAAAAAATAGTGATTGATTGCGCTCCTATAAGCACACCACACTCATTTTCATCTTTATTGCAACCTTAATTTCACTTGTTTACAATTTGCTTGCTAAGTAAAACGGGGGTTAACAATATCACATTAATTTTCGCTCAAATTTTACTTTTCTTATCAAAATCCAATGAGTACTAGTTCAAAAAGACTCAGAATCATTATTCGAGAGCGGTCTTGTTAAAATTGCTTGAACCGACTAATTTTTTCCTGGATGTTTCTACATCATTTTGAAGCAATTCAAAACTGCTATCGAACCAGACGATAACAAGCCTGGTAGCTTACGTGATGAGCCGAAAAAAACCAGCTGAGCACAATTAATAGTCCAGTATAATGTATATGTAATGGCAATTGAATATCTCAATTGATCTATACACACCAAAGTGCTAATCATATGACTAAATCAAGCATGACACCCTTTCTGACACCTCCTGCAATACACTGACATAGACGAACTAGAGTTTCTTGAAAAACATGGTAGTAGGGCTTAAATGTTCTTTGATAAGTCTAGTACCATCAAACTATTTTGTAACAATCAAGGGTGTGGGTGTGGGTATAAAAAAGGCAATACCCACACCCACATCCAACTATGGACAAACGGCTTGCATCATAGATTATCCCGAAATCGTTAAGACCATATGTCACATTTATTCGCTTCCATTTGCATTTACTCGTCTGGAAAAGATTTCGAATCATTTTCCAATTGTTCTATTTAAGAATGTAATTTACTTGTATGCCGTCGATAAGGTTCCAATGAAGCATGAATTCTTTATGAAAATTAGTCAAGCGTTTCCTTCGTTTAAATATTTCTCTTTCTCGAAACCAACGCCACAATCGTTGAATTATGATGAATGGAAATCCAATGAGAATCCATCGTATTCAATTATTGAATATTCTCATCTTACATCATTTGATCTTATGCATGTGCATAAGGATAATGTTGTACAATTTCTACTCGAAACAAAAACACATGTACCTTGTCTAATTGAGTTATATACCAATTATAGTCAATTGAGAACTATAACAATGAACTTTACAAGAGATGCAACACGACGCAATTGTTCGAAAGTAAAAAAAATAATTGTCGGAGGGTTCGAGTATTGTTCAAAAGACGTAAATGGATATTTTTCTTCATTGTAAATTTAATTCTATCTTGATGGCTTGAAAAAAATAATGTAAAAATCTTTATATGATTATAATAAGCTTTTAAAAAAAGCAAGACAACAATTGTTTATGATCCAGTATTGTCTTCTAACATATATTTGCATTGGAAAATTCTTTCTCTTATTCTATTCATTTGTATTTATCAGTGAAAGTATATATTAAGAAAAGACCAATTAGATGACAATAAAAGTTTCAAGAGAAAACTATCAAAACAGTTCTTAGTGAATTGTTGAAATTGAGCATTGAAAAGTAGTGGATTATCATCTAATTAGTAGATTTATTTTTCTTATGCACGATCAGCTATAAAGATGATATTTTATTGTTCTGATCATAGTATTAATAACTCAATAATATTTCAAAGAATCATTCGCTGTTTATAATTTTTCGGTTCAATAAACTAAAGAGTAAAACATTCGAATTTGAAAGTGATATGCTAGATATTCAGTCATTTTATTCTTTATAATTTTGATTTAACAAATAGATTTACTGTTATTGATTAGTTAAAGCTAGAGACCTGCACAAGACTCCGAAAGCCTTTTTTCATTTATTTTCTTGTGCACCGTAACATGATGAAAATTATCCGAAACGAAAGTTATATTTTTTGCTTTTCTTTCATGGTACTAATTTAATGTAATAGTCTTCTTTTTTTAGTTAAATTTAGAATTTTTTTGTCGTGACAACAATTCTTCTGTCATTGCAAGTATCTTTGATAGACACAAAAAGAAAACTTTGAAATTCAATTAGTTTTAATTGTTCTGCCTAACATTCAACATATCTATTCATTCGCTCACAATACTATCAAATCAGATTTTGATTTGTGACACTACATTCATTGACCTTAAATTACATAAATATTGCAGTATATCTAAACTATCTCTGATTTATGAAAAAAGAAATTTCGGAGTCAACGTTAAAAAACATGACTTCGTGGATATCTGGTTAAGGCTGCCTTCACTTTCTGGCTGAAAGATATGATATTTTGTCAGCTAAATCGAAAAATATTTTTCATTCTTTCTCAGTTTATGGCTTTTTGACACCCACACTCATAATTATGATTAAATCTCAAGTATAAATGAGAAATAATCACAAGTTCTGAACAATTATGCTTCCAACAAGTCAACAATTTCTTTGACTACATTATGAAGATCGTCATTATACGATAAAAGTATGTCTTTTAGAGAATATAAATCACAAATGTACCAGCAGAAAGTACTTGATCAGTTACTTTAGAAAAGCAAATATGAAACAGAAAGACTTGAGTAATGTTTTAATGCGGTCAGCTTTGAGATGTTCTGGATGATAACTGTACAATATATACCATATTATTTTCTGCTCAGTTTAAACATGAAGAGAAAACACATGTAGTGCCAAATTTTCGCTCGTTAAAGTTTGATGTTTGATGATTTCTAGTTTTCCTCCTTTTTTCATTCGAAATTATATCGTTACAGTCTCAATTAAGATTAGAAACTCTAGTAATTCATGAAGTCTGCAACAAAATGGATTATTATTTATAGTCTTTAGTGTGCATACTGCGACAGTGATTTTATGTTGCATCTTAAAATATGATTCATTTTCCATGTATCTATATTGTTTTGTTAGCGGAATGGGCTTCAAAACTTAAAACGAATAAAATGACATTTTCTTCTGCATTAGAAGTAGTCACATCTTCGATGTTTTTCATACATCTACATTATGTATACCTAGGATTATCCTGAGATTTTTCGGATTCTCACGGGGTTCCGTCGTATTCCTAAGATTCTGAGGGTTCCTATTGTATTCCCATGGATTTGGAATCTTGGAAATCCGCTAATTTTCTCTTGAAAGACATCAATAATCAATGAACTACTGTTTGTAAATTTGGATAACAATAATGCCTGACGGAGATATACTCCCAGATAAATTTTCATATAAAATGCTAAACATAAGTTTTGCGTGTTTAATAGATAGATTTTTTATTTTTATTTTGTTTTGTTATGGGTGATTTTATCAAAATTTGAAAGAACATCATTGACCCGAATGTATCGTGAATATGTCATGTCAGATAATAAATGAAGCAATTTTCAACAATTGATGAGTAAATTCAGATAGATTAACTCTTTGCTTTATACTGATATTTATTGTTACAAAGTATTTTTCTTTTTTAAACAATTTCTCTATTTCGGATGGTTTAAATTGAATTTTATTTATTTTTGAAGTTGACCTTCGTGTTGTGAATAAATACAAAACTATTTGCTGACAATCATTCGATCAGTTATTTTCCATATGAATCCAAAGTGTTGTTTATGATTAGTTCGATTTTTTTTGTTTGATTGATATACATCAAAATGATGAAGATCAACTATAGATGATTCGAATGAAAGTATACTCATGAAGAACATGATCTGAAAAATATATTTGATTACTTAAATAAGCAATATGAAGATAATAATAACTAAGTTGATCTTTGCTAATATTTTATAAGATAAGTAAGTTTGATCCAGCTGAAAACATGCATCGTCATTTGTGTTGAAAGAATCTATCACATGGTTCTTTACTTTCGAGTTTTTATTATTCATTTGGTTGAAGCATCAATTCAAAGATAATGGTAAAGGTGTGAGTGTGCGGCTGAAAGTGGTCTACGAGACGTTAAATTTATTTCGTTTTGCTTTTATGCTTCTCAGGCTACTATGGTCTCATATTTTTCACTCTTTAGTCCTTCCATAGAACGAGAACGACTACTGATACTTAAATAAAAAAATGATTTCTTTAATAGAAGTTTTTAAACTCAATGATTTTGTTCTGGATTAAAAGAGTAGCATTTACAATTCAAAAACTGAAACAAAAATAGGTAATAAAATTTAGATCAGTATGGGTCTTCTCTTCATTCGCACACACACATTGATTCCTTTAACTTCGGAAGAGTAAAAATACATAAAAGGAAGCAATTGGACTAAAGACACTAAAAGAACGAAGATATTCTTAATGTTTTAAAGGTATGTAAGCATAAAAGCAAAACGAGATAAACTTGATTTCTCGTGGATCTATGTTATTATCATGTTAAATGTTCTCCATTTCGTCAGAAGCTGTATTTCAAATCATATGTATTTTTATTGTAGCTATTTGCAATGAAACAAAAATAGTCTTGTTGATATTAGGAATTTGCAGCGTCAGTTAACGTACCACTGATGTCACCGACTCAGTGTAGTTAGTGCACACTGCCACTAGTGTTCGCCGAAGTATTGGAACACACTCGCTACAAAGGGGCATATTTTGATAGAGTTAATATTTCAAAGTTGCAGCAGACGTGAATGTCAGCATCATCCATGTCTCAATGAATCCTCTATCGGCTACTCAATCAGGGGTGTAGCTTATGAGGGGCGCGTGAGGCATGACGACTAATTATTTCCATCGCGGTTACGGTCATGACTAGAAAGAAAGAAGTTTTTTTACAACAGTCTTCCCTGGCAAGGCTAGAAGAATAACTCGAGTTGAACCTTCTCTTCAAAATGCCATTTGAAATCTGAAGATAGAATAATCATCGGCGAAGAAAATTGCTGTACATTGGTTGTAACTAACGCTGGTCACGAAAATTGTTGATCACGATCGATGCATAAAATTTTTCTTTATCGGAGATTCTTCTACCTTCACATCTTAAGCAGCATTTTGAAGAGAAGAAAACTCTAGACAAAAGGTTCAACTCGAGTTATTCCTTCTAGTTTTGTTATGTTCCGACAGGGCCTAAAGAGTATAGTTAAGTTTGGTATAGCTAGAAGAGAATTATCCTATAAATCATATCAATGAGAACATAATTCAAGAGAGATGAGCGAATACTGAATATTTTCTTTTTGTATTTGATACGAATAAATTCTGGAGTAGTTTTCTCTAGATCGAGGTTCAAATCAGATTACATTTGTTAAGTCAATAACCGGAATCAAAACAAAACTTGGTTTCGCACATCTCTATATAAATTTCCAGCAAAATATCTCGGACATTGTTTTTCACCAACAATGAAAGCTATTCAGGTGATAAAAAAGCTTTTGAATTCAACTTTTTTTCCAGAAATAGAAGATTTATAGACTAGGAAATATCTAAGAGGATGTTGGATATGAGTCATAATAAATGGCTCCGTTTTTACAATGGAATTTTTAATCACATAATACGTTGTTGTAAAAAAAAACGAAAATATACCACAGATGCAGTATGAAAAGTTCTACATTAACAAAGAATGGCTTATTTCATAGATGCAACTTTTTTCAAAATGAACAAGATACTATGAAATCAATTTGTAGTCCATGATCAATTCCTTTTCTTGCTTCATCGATTAATTAATCGTAGTTTTTAACTTGATCCTGGATTGCATATAGTTGATGATAGTGCATCACATGCAATAATAAGGAACATTTAGATCAAGGCTGTTTANACTCGACCTTCTAGAAAGAAATATATGTTGATTTTACGATTGCCTATCGACGAGCTGGAAATCATCACAATGTTTCAGCGTTTTTGTTTTGTTATTTCGCGCTTTGTTTAATTATTTCACTAAGAGTTAAGCTAGCTATGTTACGTGATTGTTATGCTTTCGAAACACTAAGGCAATGGGAGGACGATTTTCTCTTAAAATTCTATGGGATACCGATTTTCCATTTTAAGGATGTTGTCAACTGTTGGAATAGAGTAGAGAATGAGTGCCATTTGACATTTCGTAATTCCTATTGCGAAATGATGTGCACTTTCGATGAATAGCGCCTATGTTTTGAGAATCCTGATTTTTTTCTTGAAAATTCCTGTCCTGATTCCTGATTTTGCATACGAGGCCGCTGCGACCCCTGTATTTATTATGAATGCAAAGAATAATACAAGTTACACCATTATCTAAAATATAGAATTAGAAAAACAGATTATCCATTTTTTCCTATAACAGAAATATAATATGAAGGAGAAAAAGAATGAAAAAACCTATTGTTTCTTTGACCCTATTTAATCAATCAAACAATGAAGTCGGTTTAGCTTTTCAGAAGTACCAATTTGTGGTTTGTTTATGCATATATTTCTTTTGATCATTCATCTCGGCAAGAAAAAAAGATTCATATGGACAGTTACCAATGGAATCAATAATGTACGTGATTAGTACGTAGTTGTGGTTATTTCAACAGCCTACATGTAATAAGGTTTGCATAGACTATTTGTTGAACCTTTTCAAATAGTTTCTACAATAAATAACTAAGAAATCTTGTTTTTCTCACGTTATAAAAGACTTCAGAAACAAGTCATTTGCGAAGTTGAAGCTCAATCCTTCACATACTAACTTATTAATATTCGCACTTGATAAAAGATTTTCCTCTTACTTTTACCGATTCATGACAAATAGGCTTTTTTGTTTCTAAATTTCGCTGTTTTTGATAAATCTTATTTTTGAATATATTTCTATAAAAAACATTCGTTGTTGATAGAAAATAAGTCATGTACACGTGCTCGAGAGAAGTTGTCCATAGTACACTCTATCTTTTGTATATCAATTTTTTTAATTCTATTCTTTCATTTGACCATGTGGTTTTATTTTTCGTATTATTAGTACAAGTTACAAGTAGAAAAAAAAAAGAAAAGAGAAAAAAGTTTGTAACGGCAATAGCGTACGCTTGTACCGTTAGAAAAGAATGATGCAAACACTTATAAATGGACTCATTCTCCTTGTGGAAATCAAGAAGAAATAAAAAAGAAAAGAAAACAAAAGACACAAAACAACAACAAAAATGAAAAGAGTGTAATGCACGGAGCCATTAACAACAACTATATTTATTATGAAAAATAGAAGCCGACAAAGAAAACTATGAGAGACAATCAATAAAACCAAAGAAAAAAAGAAAAAGAAAAGAAATTCATGTTTGTTCCACCACAGCAAACAGACAATGTATACCAGCAATCATAAAAACAAAAACTACAAAGCAGAACAATGCATGTATATATTTTTCTTTCCTCATATCGCATTAAAAATAAGATAAAAAACAACTATACATACATCCAAGAAAAAAACAGCGAACGAGATAATTTTTTGTTACATATAAATATGAGATAAACATCAATTTAAAACAAAGAAAAGAAAAACGAATCATCTCATAGTTCTTTCTTTGTCGGCATCTTCTTGAGTAATTTTCATGAAAAGAATAAAATCAGTCGACAACAAATTAATTCGAAAAATAGAGAATAGACAAAACATACAACCAAGATAATATAAATAGCAAAATAAAGAAGAAAATGCTCGTTTAATTAATGAGGAGGTATAGATGATGGAGGTGGCGTTGATTGAAGTCCTATTGTATTATTATTATTATTAATACCTGTTGTAAGATCACTTGTTGAAGGTGGAACAAAAATTCGTTGTTGAGCTGATAATGTTCCATAAGCATTCGTTGGTACAGATGTTAGTCGAATACCACGTGCTACAGACATATTATAATCAGATGTTGGTGTTATTGAACGTTGTGAAGTATAATATGTATTATTTGTTTGTGGCATATTTGGATAATAGGATGTTGAGGATGGACGTGAGCAAGATTGTAATAATGGATGAAACATTGGTTGTTGTTGTTGTGATTGAGATGTTTGTAATTTTGATTGATCATCAAAAATATCTTCAGTTTTTATTTCCATTGAATCAATTAAATTTGATTTATTCATTGCACTGTTTGATGATACTGAATAATTAGGAGTTGTACCTTGTGAAAGAGATCGATGTGATACTGATGGAATTTGTGATTGTTGTGGATATGGCATTGGTGTAGGTTGACTATAATATGAATTCATGGGATATCGATTAGGTATTTGTTGCTGTGGTTGTTGTTGTTGTTGTGGCTGTTGCTGTTGTTGTGATAACATCGGTTTCCCACTTCTTCCGGTACCTAATGTATTGATATCCATTGGTTGAGAATATGAATAACCTTGTGCAGCTAAAACAAAAAAGAAGATCTTTATTAAATGAAATTTCTATATTAATTATTTACCCATATTGGATGTATATGGATATGATGATGATGATGGTACTTGTGGTGCTTGTTGTCTCATCATATATGGGTCACCTCCATAAGGCATTCTTTGTTGACCATAAACCATCGGTTTTCCTCCATGTGATGCATATCGAATCTGTTGTTGTGATGATATCCATTGTTGTGATGTTTGTTGAGGATGTGTCGTCATCATCATAGGATATCCACTATTATTATTACCATTAGTTGGATTACCTTTGCCGCCATTATAATAAACAGGATGCTGTGGCTGAGCTGGTAATTGTTGTGATAAATTAGTACGAACTAATCCACTCATAGATGAAGGTTTACCACCTTTACTACCTTTACCACCTGATGGCATCATTTTGCCAGTTGAATTTGGCGAGGCTGATTCCATTGAATGATGATATTTTCCAGATGTTGTTGGTTCAGAATTTTGTGAATTAATTGGTGATGGACCTAGAGCAATTGAGTAAAGTTTTAGTAAAGAGAGAACAATGAACACTTCCTCTGTATATGTTAAAATAGAGATTCACACATGATCCAACTTTTTTAAAATTATGTGGAACTTAAAGCACAAGGATTAATCACTTCCGCATTAAAAGCTACTGGATTGTAGGTTATCAACCATGCGAAATCTTCTTTCGTTATTACATGCTGATTTTCTAGATAACCAATTTTCCAGACTAGCAAATATATTTCTAAAACAGCTTTGGATTTATTCAGATTACAAAACAGATTGAATTGTCTATGGATTTTAAGGATATCTATTTTATATTCTTCACAGCAAAAAGTAACGTCAAGTAACAGAAAAACATATTCATAAATCAAACTGATCGATTCAATTAAATTTCTACCTATTCTAAAAAATTTAAACATTTCCATCATTATTTCTCATAAGATAGAAATTCTTTTTCTTTTCCATAATTACCTGGTCCCATTTTTGCTCGATGCATTGCTTTAATACGTCTTCGATCAGCTTGCATAGTTGCTGCACGTTGTCGTTGAATTTTACTTTTAAAACTTGCACAAAAAGGTAACTAAAATATTTCAATAATTTAAAAAAAAAAGGTTATCTAATAAAACCGTGTTTTTTTTTGTACATACTAAACAATTTTGATCATTACAAGTTTTAGCATGAAGCCAAATAGGTGAGAGAAATTTATTACAATGTTGACATTGACTTCTTGATGCTTTCGTACATTCTCTTGTATGTTGTAGTAACTTTTTACATAATGCACAATTTTTATATATACAATTTGCATTTCGACACTGTACAGCATGACGTATAGCATCTAACATTCGTTGCATTGTTAATTGTCTTTGTTGTTGAATATTAATTGTTGCATCTGAATTTGTTTTTGTTTCATTTGCATCATCTGTACGTTCCATACGATGTTCATGTTTTAGTGTGGTATAACATTTACTACATAAATCATAATCTTCACATACTGTACAATGATATCGAATATCACATAATTGTCGACATGAATTACATGTATAAGAAATTTTATCGGCTGTTGATGAATGTAATTCAATTAATGAAATCATAGTTGAATATTTTGCACGACGTAATGAAGAAAATTCACAATGTTTTTCACGAGCAAAATTTAAAAATGCATCGCGAGATTCCATTAAATCACATTGTATTAATGGATCTGTATCGGTTAATGTTGCTGGAATTGACATTGGATTACGTAAACGAACAACAAAAAATGACTAGAAATTTTTATAAAAAGAAATTCTTTTATAAAATAAAACCTATAGAGGATCCGACAAAAGTTTTTCTTCGTCTGACTCGTCAGAAAGCTGTATATTGAAGTGAAATATTTTATAACAATGCATAGATATATTTTCGATTGTGCAATTTTTTAGATCTTTAGACTTTGTACGTCTTATTCTTATGTTTCTTTTAGATCAGTTACGTCTTATTTGTTTAAAAAGAACTCACAAGAACGATTCTGAACTATGATTTTATATGAACGGAAAGTTGGTTTAACGTACATGAAAAACTATGTCCTTTTAGTAGAAATTGTCGAAGTCTATCTTAATCAAATGCATCAATGCATTGTTGATGAAAGGTAGTACTTTGAAAAACAACACTAGAACAATATTTTTGAATGTCCCTCAAAAGAGCCGGTGAAAAAAACTTTTGTAGCCCTTCATATATTAATTTTTACTTCTTTATGTTTTTCCATCATCGCATAAATCTTTGAAATAAGATCACTTCCATTTGTCATATTTTTTCGAGTTATTCGACGTTGACTAGTTGTCTTTTTGAAATTCTTCTTTTTATGTGTTGTACCACCACCTGATTTACGTTTATCGGATGTCTAATATTAATAAATTCAGTGTAAAAAAAAAAATTAATTTATATTTTTATTTATTTTACTTCAGTTGGTTCTTCTGTTTCTATTGAATCATCAAAATATCCATCATCAGATACTTTAACTGCTTCAAGTTCTACAAATTTTCGTCTATCTTCTTCTTCTATGTCAAGTTCTTTAATTAAATCTTCTATTGTACTTGTCCAAAAATCACCTTCAAAATATGGTATATCAGTTGCTTTATTTAAAGCACTCTCAGTAAAATCTTTCATTATATCCTACAAGAGAAAAAACAATAAAATTAAATAGTACAATCAATGAAATAAAAATATCATTTAAAACAAACTTTATAATCAACAACAACTCGTTGATGCATAGCTAGATCTAACATTGTTTTATACCATTCTTGTAAACGTTTTGGTTTTGGTACACGTTGTTCAGGTGGATGACAATGAAATATATAATCATCACCTTCACTTGGTGGACATGCCCATATATGTGCATAAATAAATCCTAATTGTTTAACATATTCAAGATAACCAATAAGAATTTCATAATAGAGTGTTGTTCGTTTTTCTTTTGGTCGAAAGTAATGTACTGAATCAAGATAGGATATATACACACGTCTAAAATCATCAGAAAAAAAAATTGATTCGATACATTGCTAATTGAGATTTAATAAAATTGTTACAAGAGAGCAAATGTATAACTCATTATAGATATGTAATTCCAGTAATCATCGATTATTTTTTTCTAGTTTTCCTAACTATTAGAGTATCTGCAAATGTGCTTAAACATTCTAATGGTGGTTCTCGTTTGAGCGCTTTCACATCCGTTCAGAAAATATCAAAAGCATCTATTTTTATCATAAAAGATGCACGAAGATGCTTAAAAAGGCAACATTAGTATTAGGAAAACGTGGAAAAAATTTTCCCGACAATAATTTGATGTGTGTTGCAAATAAAAATGACTTTGTTATGCGTGATATAGGTCAAAAATCTTGTAAGAAAAGTTTTCTAAACGTTTTCCAGATGCATAAGTTGCTTTATTAATCATCTTCATGCATATTTTATGATAACAACATTTGCTCTTGGTTTTTTCTGAATCAACGTGAAAACATCCGAACAGAAATGATAATTAGGACGTTTAAACGTCATAGCGGTGATCAGCCAATCTTCTATTCGAGAGAACGAGAAAGCACATATACATATGTGCTTAAATTCTGATTTAATTAGTAACTGGCGTCATCATGTCTGTTACAGTAATGTAGCTTGAAAGTTTTCAATAAGGAGATTGTCAGTGAATGCAAACTTCTACTACAGGACTAAATTTGTTTTTCAGTGGGACGAATGCTGTTCATTCTGAGAATTTATCCCTCTCTGGACACCTCGTGACTACGACACTACTCTCCTATAATAATCCGATGACAAAGATAGATAACTCTGCCGGCCGTAGAACCATAATTTCAAATATATATCGTAAAACTATCATTCGTATTGTATTCTTATTCATCTTCTTTCTTCCTCTAGTTAAATCGATTAATTCTATAGTCTTTCTTTAGATCTTCAATGAATGATGACACTTAGGCCCCGAACAGACCGAACAAGATAAAACTGAATTAACCAATGAGACGATTAGAAACGATAAAACAGAAATAAGTCATCTTTTCGAGACGATTTATCTTAATTCAACTTTTAATGCACCAATCATTCAATAGCATGATTGAACAATGAAAAATACATGAATCGATAGATAGAGAATAGATGTGATGTCGCTCGAAAAAATTAATTATTATAAAATAGTACTAGTTTCGTTTGATATTCAATAGATTATGACTTTTCAAAGTGTTACCGATCTAACAAATAAAAATGTTTTTTTTTACAACTAAAAACTTCACTAAATTGATTTATTTTCGCTACATTATAGAGGATGTTCTCAATTTTCATTAGTGGATTATCTATTGTGTGTGGACGCGCGCTGACTTAAAACAAAAATTAAATCGCTCTATTTTTGGTCTGTTCGGGGCCTTAAGGTGTTAACCAGCGTTTTTAACAAGAATTCGAAACAAAGTACAAATCCATAGTCTACCTATGCTTTTTCCATGTTTTTCAACATTTTTCCAGCAAAAATCAAAATACTTTTTCAAAATCGTAAGTACCTCGGGTACTTTGCTTTTGCTTAGGGTACTTATTGTTAAAAACACTGGTGTTAACTATTATTGAACATTAGCTCTTTGTTCTTTATCTTACAACAATGAATCATGCATCCCGCTTAGACAAAGAAATCATTATTTTCTTTCAAAGAATATTTTGTATCAATTAAAAAATAATTTTCTTTTTTCCATTATTCATTTTTTCTCTTAGAGTCTTATTATCTATTTTAATATTGTAAATCTGTCTATAGATGGCTCTCATGAATTAATTAATGATTGGCTACTTATTATGTTTATATAAATATTCTGTATGCAGTTTAAGTTTCGTTTATCATCGTCATCTGTTGGTTTGAAATATACAATTTTATATAAAAATAAGAAAGAATGTCTACGACAAATAATATGTTAAGTATTGTTGAAAAAGACGTTGATAAAGCTATTGAATCAGTTCAAGAATATTATAATAATATTGAAAATAATATTGATAATGTTATTGAACAAATTCAAACTATGATTTCAAATTCAACTGATGATCAAGTAATAAAAACAAATATTCGTGATACAATAAAACCATTTGCTAAACAATATAGTGATAAACATAAAGATTTACATGGTTCAATATCAAAAATAGGTAAAACAATTGATAAATGTTTTCAATCGGATTTTGGTAATGTTCCTATATTTGAATTATTTGATAAGCCTGAAAAATTAAAATTAATTTATATGATTATATGTGAAGATTTATATCGACAAGGACGTATGTCAATAGCTCAACAATTAATTGAAGAAACAAATTTAAAAGATAATGATTTATTTAATGTTGAAAAAAATTTTTTAGAAGAAATAAATATGATTTTAGAAAATTTACGTGAAAAAAATCTTTTACCAGCTCTTGATTGGTGTCAAAGAAAAAAGAATGAATTAAATCAAACAGGAAGTTTATTAGAGTTTCATTTACATAAAATGCGTTTTATACAATTATTACAAATGGGAAATTTTGATGAAGCAAAAAATTATATGTCAAATTTAAGACAATATTCAATTTTAAATGGTCGATGTGAACAAGCCGTTAATGAATTAATGGGTGCATTAATATTTGCTCAAAGAGATTTAACCAAATCACCATATAAATATTTACTTGAACCACATCTTTGGTTACAATTATCAGAATTATTTATGCAGCAAGCTTTCCAACAAGTTGGACTTTCACAAGATAGTCCACTTTATGTTGTTATGAAAATTGGTTTTCAAGCTTTACCTGCTCTCATGAGGTAAATAGTAATGAGAGAAATGGAAGATAAAATGAATAGACTAATAGTCAGTCATATATTAAGAATATGAGCATTCTTATATTTCAGAAGTGAAGATGAAGATTTTTGTTTTTAAATGAGTGAGAAGAAGCAATGATATATAAGGTATTTGTCATAGTAGAGATAAGGTCTACGAATACAGAAGTTTTGAAAAGAACTAATATTGGTTGATGATGATGTTTGAGATTTATAATAATTCATTGTATCAAAAATGTAGAAATCATATTAAACTTAACTTCTAAAGAAAGCTGCATTAGAAGAATTGCTCAACGTTTTTTTTTTATGTAGTAACAATTTCATTTAATGATTTAGTAATAGTAGTGTAGACAAAGCTGCTGATGTAATCTGTCACGATAGCATAACAGCTCTAATCTCATGAGGAAATTATCTGAATTGATACAAGCTTTTTGAAGTTATATTGAACTTACAAGAACGTTGTGTTGAGGGTGGCAAAAATCTAACGGGGTACACGTTTTTTATTGTGTTTTGGAGTCGAGCTATGATTGTTTAACTAAGTTTTCCACCTGAAATTTTGCTCACAGGATAGATCGAATGATATTTGAAATATCCTGAAAGTTGCTGAAGTATCTTGGAGCGAAAATTTAGTAAAACGATCATCACTCGGCTTCAAAGGCTTATGAAAACGAACTCTTTTAGACTATTACTAGTCTCACTACGGCATCCTTGTAGGTCATACGAGAAAGTCTTTCAACTTATTAATTGCTTTTGAACCGGAACTATTTGCATCATGTAGATCATTCTAAAAATGGTTGGCTTCCTTGGATTATTCCTGTGGGTATACTGTTTTTTTACAATAGTTTTTAAATTAATGCCATGGTTCACATAAGATACATCAGGCAAACTAATTTTCGAAGTTCAACTTGAAACTTTGAACAGGGACAGACTCTAATGAGAATAATCTATTGTGAGAGTTTAAGATTTTTTCATTGTTTCTATTCTTAGATATCACTATGATAAAAATGTGTCTTTTATGTTTCTTATAGGTTCGATATTCTCCTAAAGGTCTATCTCTATGCAAAGTTTCAAGCTGAAATTCGAAAATCAGGTACCCTAATGTCTCTGAGGAGAACCATGAGACTGACTTTAAAAACACCAATGACTCGAACTACTTTCAAGATATTCATAGTCCATTACAATCTACATGATGCACATAGTTCCGGCTCAATAGTGATTAATCATTTGAAGGACTTCCGTCTTAAAATAAGCTCTCAAATTGGCGGATATTAATTCGATTGATTCTCTCGTCAGCTCATTATATGAAAAGATTTTATAATCATATAATAAAGAATCAAAATATTTATTTTAGCATTGTAAATGCCATGCAGAATACTCAAGTATGTCATATATTATCAAAAGATGAGTTACCAATTGAAATGGATGTTGGTCAAGAACATCGATATCATAGTGTATTTGCTTGTCCAATTCTTCGACAACAAATAACAGATCAAAATCCACCAATGAAACTTGTTTGTGGTCATGTTATATCAAAAGATGCATTAAATAAATTATCCATACAAAATAAACTTAAGTGTCCATATTGTCCATTAGGTTTGTTCGTGAATTTAAGTTGTTTTTTCTTTTTTTATGATATATATTGTTTCTTCTTTTAGAACAAAGTCCGGCGGATGCACGGCAACTTTTCTTTTGAATATAAGCAATCCAGCTGTTGTATTGTAATGCATTGTTTTCGTCTTTTTTTTGTGTCAATGATGAAGATCAGTCGTCTATCTTCTTTTTTCTTTCGTTTTTTTATATGTACAGTTTAAATGTTCTACGTTTCTTTTTCTTTTTGATCTTGTAGATTAAAAATGCTTAGGAAGACTTTTGATCCATTGGATTATAATTTATCGGCTGATTTTCGTCTAACGAAATTATCCGATCTTAAAGGATGAGGATGTAAAGTTCCTCGAGATGTGTTGCACCGTCTGCTCGAGGGATTTCAACCAACTGATACAAAAAAAAGTGATGGTGACGGGCAAAATTCAACAAATCATTCGGCACTCACGCCAGAGCCTAAAGCATCGCCGGTGATTGGTACGTTATTTCAATAACTAATAGAAAAAAATGTGTTTATAGAGGAGTTTTTTTTTAAATAGGAATTGGTCTTGATTCTTGTGTTCTTCCATTACGCCACGGAGGTCTTTTTCTAGTACAATCAACAGATTTTTTTTACCCGCTTATCGATGATCCATATGTGATGGTAAATATTCAAATAGAATATTTTTTCTTTATCTACTATATTTTAAATAATTAAGGGAAAAATTGCATGTGCTAATGTATTAAGTGATATTTATGCAATGGGTGTGATCGAAATAGACAATATGTTAATGTTATTAAGTACAAGTAATAAAATGACTGAAAAAGAACGTGATACAATTATGCCATTGCTTCTTGAGGGATTTAAAGTAATAAAATTTTTAATCGGAAATAGAATATTTCATATAGATTTTTTTGTATGAAATAGGATTGTGCTCAAGAAGCAGGTACATCCGTCCAAGGTGGTCAAACCGTTGTTAACCCATGGTTAATTGTCGGTGGTGTTGCCACTTCTGTATGTATACAAAGTGAAATAATCATTCCAGAAAATGCAGTTGTAGGTGATGTATTAGTATTAACAAAGCCATTAGGAACCCAAGTTTGTTTTGTTTTTTTTTTCTTTTTAATTAAAAAGAAAAATCTATTTATTTATATTAAGGTTGCTGTGAATGCTCATCAATGGATTGAAAATCCAGATCGATGGAATCGTATTAAATCTGTCGTCACGGAAGATGATGTTCAAAAAGCATATCAACGTGCCATGAATTCAATGTCTCGATTAAATAAAATTGGTATAACGAATGACCCATAGTAAATGGCTACATTTTGCATTTCATATTTTAATCTCTAAATGTGTTTTATTTAAAAAGAAAGAAGAATGTATCCATAAGATGCAGCTTGAAACATACTACAATCTACAAAGTAAATTTTGTTTTCCATATAATCAAAATTCTATGTTGCGAACATAATCATTTTTTTTATTACACGGTTAATTCGGCTTTTTTTTAAAATATCTTATCAACAGAAGATAAGTCTTTTCATTGATGAAAAATATTTCTCATTCAAACATGTTGACAAGAAACAGCCGAATAAAGAGATATTAAACCAAAAGGTCAAGTATCCAAAAAGAATTATGTTATGGTTAGATGCGTCTAAAAATAGTCCTGGACAGTGATTTCATCTATCAACAAGTTGACATTACGTCAAGAATCATTGACATGATGTGAAGAAAGCATTCGGTGGATCTTAAAATATAACGTGAAATAGAAACTGTTAAATCACTAGATAGATGCGAAAATTTTAAATCTATTTTGATAAAAATTGTTGAGATTAAAGACGTCATATATTTCAGTACTTAAAAAACAACAATTTTAGGTATACTGAAATCTTTAATCTCAAGAATGAAAAATGAAAGGTTAACTCTCTTTTTTGGTCGTTTCTGGTTCTCGAAGTGTGTACAACCGATCCACATGAAATTTTTACCAAAGATAGAGCACCTAAAATAAGGAAACAGGTATTCAAGAAAAAATAATTTCAAATAAGATTTTCGCAGTTTTTTTTGGGAAAACTTTAGTTTTCCATAGAACCACATTGGGCTTAAATAGTTGAAATAAGAAGAACCGAATTCATTGCGTAGCAAAAAAATGATATCGTTAGCATAGAGTTTCGTTCATTTTAAAAAACAAAATTTATACAATTAAAATGAATTTTTTGCATGTTGCATCTTGTGATACATTCTCTCTCTTTTTGTGCTAACAAAATGTATTTAGAGATTAAAATATGAAATGTAAAGTGTGACCATTTATTATGGAACATCGGTTAGTTTTATACTAAAATAATTCTATTTAAGGTGGAATACTTATGCATAAATATAATGCTCATGCATGTACAGATGTAACTGGTTTTGGTCTACTCGGTCATGCTGAAAATTTAGTTAAATATCAAAAAAATGATGTTTCATTTGTTATACATAATTTACCAATTATAGCTAAAATGGCAACAATAAGTAAAACTCTTAATAATGGATTTGGTTTATTACTAGGTAAAAGTGCCGAAACATCAGGTGGTTTACTTGTCATTTTACCATATGACCAAGCAGCTGCTTATTGTAAAGATATTCAAGAACAAGAAGGTTATCAAGCATGGATTATTGGTGTAGTTGAAAAGGGTGATCGAACAGCAAAAATTATTGATAAACCAAGAATAATTGAAGTACCAGAAAAAGATACCGAAGGCAAATTATGGTAAATTTACTATGAACGAATTTCTGGCGTGGTTCGTTTATAATAAAATTTATCATAGGAGATTTTTTTTAACAAAAAAAATGTTTTTTCGCTTTATTGTTTTCTTTTTTTTTTTACAAATGTAAAAAAGGATGTAAATGACGTATTAATAACGCAATACTTCAGCATATATTCTGTTGTAGTTATTAATCTGATTGTTCCTATTGTATTTTGTGAGAAAAGATTAACATAAATCGATGCATTTTTTTGTCTCTACTATTTGCGTTTTTTCTTAAATAGAAAAGAAATTTTACAACAAATTTTAATTTATATATATTTCAGATAAAATGGAGATTAATAAAGATAATATTGAAAAAAAATTACGAGATGAATTTGAACCAGTTTATTTGGTAAGCAAAAAATACAATACTTTATTCAAAAGAAGTAAACATAAACTTTATGTTTTTATTCGAATGTTCAAGTATAATTGATTATATAAGCATAAGAGTATGTGCTTGAAAGTCAATCTAATTTGAAACGAATTCAAAAAGTGTTCCCGGAAAAATTTCGGTGAATAACTATTAAACTTCTATAATTTTGATTACTCTGTTTTACTTTCTTCCTTCGTGTCAATACTGCATTGCTGATAATAGGCGATTGATGAATCACTAGCTTCTCATAGATAATGTGTATATTTAAAAAAAGAGAGCGAGATGGAATTAGTTTAGGCTTTTCAAAATTTAAACTAATGTTGATTTGGGAGACTGTGAACCTAATTTAATAGAAGTGTGTCATTCTGCAAAAAGATTGTAATCAGAACTGTGTTACTGAAGCTATACTTCTCAACTTATTTCATGTTTGAAGTGAGATTTTTTGAGTTTGTCTGCAAAATCTGACTGGAAAAATGCATAATGTGGAGTTTAGCAATCAGCAATCGGTAAATGGCTTCTTTTTTTTATACGAAACAAAGAATCACCACATATACCATCCCCATTAACCAATTGAAAATGACATAACTAACCTACTGATTGCCACCAGTCTCAAGCAGTTTTCTATTGAAATTTGCTTATTCTGAGAGACGATTCAAAACTTCGCGAAAGCCAACATCTATCTTTGAAAGCATTGATACATGAACACAAACTCAGAGAAGACCAAACCGATGGTGGAAGGGGCGTCGTCCCTCGGTTGTCACTCTAGACAAAACACTAATCTAAAATAGATTTTTGACTGTTTCCAAATTTAATATATACTTGTATTGCAGTAGAAAGGATTGGAATGATAAAAACATGATCTCACAACGAGCAATTTGAATAATTAATCATCGATACTGAATATCTAAATCGTTAATATAAATAAACGTTTTAAAGACTCCTCGTACAGATATATTACACATGAACAAGTTTATTCTTTATCTTATTCATTTGAGTATTTCACTGTTCTCAATTCTGTACAACAGTGCCATATCTAGCATGAGGATCAAGTGGGTAGCACCTCTCCAAACATTGGATTCGCCCTTTCGGTGCTTGTTATTACTATACCGCGTACTATGTGTCTTCACCTTTTCAAGCAAAGCCTATTGATCTCGAATAATTTCATTCATAATAATTTATTGATTTGCTTCTCTTCTCAAGTGTTATTTGAGAAAATACTTAGATGATTGTTAGCGATTCTAATATCTACATTTATTCTCCAAATATTTATTTAATTGATATCAAAACAAAAGTTTATTATTACCCTTTTGTTTAGAACATTGAAGATTTTTCAAGTAACTGTGGTTTAAAATTTGATACAACCATCGTATCGAAAAAATTCGAAGGTAAACCATTACTTGCAAGACAACGGTATGTAAATTTCAAAACATTTTATATTCAATCATTTTTTTTTCTTATTCTTTATATTTATAGATTGGTAAATGATTTATTAAAAGATGAAATGACGAAAATTCATGCATTTACTCAAAAGACTTATACACCTGATGAATGGGAAAAAAAACAACAAAAAACAATGACTAATCCCGAATGTGAAGCAAAAACAATGAATGCTTGTACTGGCAATTGTGGCAACTGCAAAAAATAAAAAAAATGTTTTTTTTGTATTTTTCACTACAACTCTTTTTTTCTCGTCAATAATAAACAAGAAAATCTATACACGAAATCAATTTATTTCTCCGAAGCTTTTATTTTCTTTTTATTGTAGAATGGAAGGCGACGATTTAGAAGATTCAATGGACGAAACCGTAATGGATAAATCTACGGATACGTCTCAAACTCAACAATCATCAACAGGACAACCAAAAATTTATCATCGATGGACTGTAAAAGGTTATTGGCAGGATAAAAATAAACATATTCTACCTGATGGATGGTGTGAAGTATTTCATACAAGTGGATTTCCATTATATTTTCATAAACAAACACGTGTTGTAACCTTATCACGTCCATATTTTCTTGGTTCCGTAAGTGTTCGTCATCATTTAATACCAGTTGTATCAATACCTTGTTTATATATGAAACGATTACAAGAAGAACTCGTTGAAAATGAAGAATTATCATCCGGTAATGATGAATCAAAATGTCCATTTAAGCAAGAACAACAAGAAAATTCAAGTTCAACATTAAATAGAAAACGAAAACGTAGTGATGAAGATGATGTTGAAGAAGGTGAAATATCTTCACCTCATGCATCAACAACGACAAATCTTGAAGAATCTTCACCATCTTCATTAGCACAAATTATTTCCGAATCAATAAATAATATTCCAACAGAAATCTTATCAACACGTCCAGCAAAACCACAACAATTACCTGTATCATTACAAATTTTAACTAATTCAACATTAGATGATACACTTCGTTATAGTACATTAACATCTGATGAATTACGTTCGTATTGTCAACGTCGATTTGCATTTGAACAACGTGAATTAAAATATTTTCCATCACTTAGTGATAAATGGAAATATATTCGTCAAGCACAAATGAAACGTCGTGAAATGAATACACCAGCTGATACACAAATTATTGAACTTCAACCATTATCATCAAATGATCAATCTGTTGTTGTATCAGCCGCAGTTAAAACAACACAACCATTAGTTAAACCATTAACAAAATCAGCATCTGAATCATCAAATTTAAATAATAAAAAAGTAACTATTGATTTATATCCAAGTAAAAGTCCAATTGCACTTTTACAAGAATATGCACTTAAACGTTTAAAATTATCTGTTCGTTATGATTGGTTTACAACAGATGTATCGAATTCACCATTTGGTTGTCGTGTACTTGTTGGTGATATTGTTTATGGTACAGGTATTGGTAGAAATAAACGTACAGCTAAATTAAATGCAACAGAAGAATCACTTCTTATTCTTTTACCACAATATAAAAAATTACAAGAACAACAACAACAACAACAGCAACAACAACAACAACAGCAACAACAACAACAGCAGCAACAACAACAAATAGGAACTAAAGAATCAATTACAGAAGATAAATTTATGGATGAAGAAGGTTGTATTGATGATGATGAATCATCTTCAAGTGCAACTAATAATAATAACAATAATAATAATAATAATAATAATAATAATCATAATCATAATAATGATTTAAATGAACAAGAACAAGTTAGTTGTTCATTACTTGATGAATATGGTATATCAGATGCAAATATTTATGATGTTTGTGTTACACTTGGAAAACCAACACCATATCAAATGCTTGAAAAAAGTTTGACATATAATGTATTAACACGAAGTGAAGCAGATATTAAAGAAACAATGACAAAAAAACCTATGTTTACACATATAACATTAGAAATTGGAAATGAACATAAAGAAGAAGCACAAGCAAAAGATAAAGCTCATGCAAAAAATTTAGGTATAAAATATTCTATTATTAAAGAAAATCAAGACTATCAATACAAAAAAATTTTATAACAATAATATTAAATGTCTTTGTTTTGTGTGTTGAGTACGAAAATCATGATAGAAAAGAAAAACATAAGATAAATAATACGCTATTTCACATAGTTCTGCGATGATCGCTAGAGAAGATATGCAGTGCTACCCTATACTGTAGGGAAGACTAGAGTAACGACGTTTCTAACTCTTATTAAATATATTGAAAAGAGTTCAGGCTCTTAGCTTATTATTGTCGAGATACTACATGTTTACCGCGATATTTTAGCTAATACCCGTAGCCTCCTTCAGGAATGCAAGAAAAACTCATTTTCGAATTTCGACTTGAAAGTTTTAGGTATTTTTGTTGTTCCTATCTTAAGATACAGCTGTGATAAAGGTTTGCCTTTTACACTGCTCATATGCATCGACACATCCGATGTTCTTACTTCAGAAAAGGAGTCAAAAGGAAAAGGTCGAAAGTTTTGAACAAGAAATTACCCCGATTAAGATCTGTCTCTGTTCAAAGTTTCAAGTCGAAATTTGAAAATCAATTTTCCTAGTATCTCTCAGGCTAAGAGTCTGAATTCTTTTTCAAAGTACTCATAGCTCAGTAGGATTTACATGATACAACACATAGGTTGAACTGCAAAGCGAATAATCATTTGAGAGACTTCCTTTGTCAGTCAGAGCACAGGATATGAGAAAAGCTTATCCTATACATCACTAATGATCATTAATAGTTTTTCTATCTCAAGTGACGGCGACATCCCTCTGAACATCGGATGGACCCCCTGTAGTTTTGTAATTATGTATCTATGCTTCTAGAAATAGATGCTTACCTTCTCAGAGTTTCAAATCGCCTCAGCGAAAGAGAAAACCTGGATAAACCACTGATAATTAAAAGGTAAAATGAATAAAGAAAACAAATGGTAATGAAATCATTGCACTAAAATTGAAATTGTTTTCCAATTCTGTTACTGTCTCATAGAAAAATTTTATGTGCAACGAGTAACGAGAATTTTTAAGCATTTATATCTAACTGTTTGTTAATTATAAATATTCTTAGTACTAAATATTCATTTTTTAAAAACTTTTTGTACTTATTCAAAAGAAAAAAA